GAAACATGAAGGAGTCTCTTTAAATGATAATCTGTATAGTGGCCCAGATTGCGTGAGCTCATTAGCGGGACTGCTGTTAAGATTCAGAAAGTTTACAGTTGCTGTCGCTGCGGATATTGAGGAAATGTTCCTACAGGTGAAAGTGCCAGAGAGCGACAGAGATCACTTAAGGTTCTTGTGGTTTGATGACGGTCCTTGTGGTAAGGTGTCAGAATATAGGATGACAGTCCATCCATTTGGTGCCACATCCTCCCCGTTTTGTGCTAATTTTGCTTTGCGAAAGGCAGTGTCCACATTTGGTTCTAATGATTTGCTGGACGTCATAGATTGTTGCTTCTACGTGGATGATTGTTTGGCCTCCTTCAATGATGATAAGTCTGCAGTTAGATTTGCAATAAGCATTACTGAAGTGTTAGCTAAGGCCGGCTTTCGTCTAACCAAGTGGGTCTCGAGCAGCCTAGACGTTTTAAAGCATATAGATCCAGAAGACAGAGCACCTACTGTACGAGATTTGCCTGTTGATACTCTACTAGTTGAACGCACATTAGGTATGCGATGGGACGTGAACTCTGATACCTTTGGATTTAGTGTTGGTGATATTGATAAGCCAGTTACTCGGAGAGGCGTGCTCTCTGTGTTGTCGTCCGTGTTTGACCCACTTGGATTAGCAGCACCTCGTCTACTTCCGGCTAGGAGATTATTTCAAGAGACATGCAGGAAAGGGTTACAGTGGGATGAACCATTCAGTGAGAGGCAGAGAGAAGAGTGGAAGATGTGGTGTCAATGGAGTTGAAGATTGAACGATCAATTCTTGGTTGTTTGCTCAAAATCAACTTCCCCGATTTTCGCGGAGGCATCAATACGACAGTCATCGTCTCATCGGTCGCTGTTCAGAAAGAAGAGTGAAACATCGTCAGAAGTAATAAATGATTTATTATTGTAATATTTGTTTTCAGACCTTAGTTCGTTTATTCCTTTTATATGTTGGTGTAACAATAAAGAAATAACAAGCAGCAGATCGGTGTTTTGGTTTTTGCGTCCGTTATAACTAAGCGTTTCTGAAACTCAAAGGAACAGCGTGGGCCCGAGCGTAGCGAGAGCTGGGCATTAACGGTTTATGAGACGTGACTGACAGTTTCTGACGATAGAAACAGATCTGGCGGATTCAAACAGTTGGTGAAAGTTTGGATAGTCGCCGTTCATTTTTCCTGGTGCCGGTCAAGTCCTCTTTGAACAAGCAATATCTGGAACTTTTTGGAATTGGGTCAAGTTCAACAATGCCTGGGTCAAAGAAGGGACAGAGTGTCTTGGATGCAAACAGGAAAGTAAGTCATGGTGACTTGTCTGTTAATTGTAACGATGTGTCTGATGTTAAGCATGACATGGTTGATGTTACTGTTTCGCCGTTCAGGGATAATAGGAACATCAAACTCCCTAAATTTGAACCACGGTGTTTTGATGGAAACCCGGCTGATTATTTACAATTTGTAAAGGAGTTTGAGATCATGTTGAGTGGTTTTTTATTAAATGATGAATTGAAGTTAATGTATTTGATGAGATATTGCACTGGAGATGCTGCAAGAGCTATACAGTGCTGTAAGTTTATGAAGCCAAAAGAGGGCTACTACGAGGCTATGAGCATATTACGTCAAAGGTTTGGAAGACCTTCGATGATTGCAGGGAAATTATTCGAGGCTGTTAAGGGTAATGGTGGTCAATTACAGGATGACTCCCAGGCACTCACTGAGTTTTTAGATAATTTGCTAATTTACAAGAATGGAATGATTTCGATGAATCGAATGAGTGACCTCAACTCGAGTTTTATACTAGAAGTAATAGCAAGACGTCTACCTACTCGACTGCAAAGGAAGTGGGTGAAGATAAGCTCCCGTATGGAGGATGAGGGTATCGAGCCAAAGTTTGATGATATCCTGAAACTGGTAAATACTAGTGTCAATCAATCTATGAGCAAGTTCGCCAGTCTGTTAGATCTCACCCCTAGAATAGAGCAGTCTGAGGGTAAAACGCACTCATTGATGACGAATAAGCCTCAGAGAGGTGGATATCGAGAAGGCTCCATGATGTCTAGTAATGCATATAGACCTAGTGAGTGTAACAGGTTTCGTAGTACATCCTCAACAGATAAGTTACAAGATGCAAGACAAACACGGTTGTGTTTACACGTTGCAAGAGGTGCATACAGAAGTGAACTGTGAACCAGTGAGCAAGTTCAGTGATAAGCTAAATGTAAACTCCAGGTCTGACTCCGAATTGTGTGACGATAACGGTGCGGAAGAAGTCTGTAGTTGCAACTGGTAAGCCGTTGTTGAATAGAGTGTCACAGAATAGAGTTACTGCTTCAGAGTGCAGTTCTGACTCCAAAGTTTACAAGGTATTACTAGTCAGAGTGAAGTTATAAAACCTTTAATGATTTGCGAGGAGGAACCAAAATTGTCTACTTCTGTTATTAAAGAGTTTGAAAATGATGAAGTTGACGGTAAAGTGAATATTCGTGATAATGATCATGATACTTCACAGTTGTCTTTGGTTGATCATTATGAGATGAGGGATATGCCTACTACTGCTAAGTTAAATAAAGGTTCTGTACAACTACAACGTGAAGTAGAATTGAACGCAGATGCAGTTCCAGAAGGTGTGCATACTTGTGAGACAGTCAGTGTAATTGATCAGCGTGTAGCCCACCTATCATCAGATGATAGTGCTAAACCCGAACTAGTAGTGAAAGACAGCAGTGGTGGTAATCTTGCAGTTGGACAACTATCTGAGAGCCGAACAAGAACAGCTTCTGATCCACCACTAAGTTCATCACCTTGTGTCACTCAGTCATCGTTGGTGCTGTCATCCACAATGAAACAGACACCCATCAACTCAAGTATCTTGTGCAATGACTATGGTAGTATCAGTTCGTTTGAAAGGACGAATATCAATGGTCAGTTTAGTGTGGATAAGCCAAGTGTAAAGGAGAGAGTTATTGTTAAATTGACTTGCACGAATAAAGGCATTTCTAGTTTCAAGTTACTATTTGAATGTTATTATCTTTGGTGTAAATTACTCTGTTTCTATACTTGGTTGATGAGATATGTCGTGTGTTTGTTGGTCATCTATATTCTACGATACAATGACATGGGCGTGTTGCCGTTCAGATTTGAGGATATAGCTGATAGAAGGAAGTTAGCAAATGAACTCTGCGACGATTTTCCAACCTAGGGCGTCAACCTGAGAAGGGTTGTAGGCGTACTGCTGTAAGTCCTACAGTTCTTCAAAGGGTAGCGCATCAATGAGCAGTCCAATGTGCTTGGTGTATGATTTGTACATATGTTCATATTGTATATACTGAATTGATATCATCTGTCATCTAGCTGTTGGTAATTCTGTTTGTGTCCGGACGACTTCCACTTGGATCATCAACCTGAGAAGGAATGTAGGCGTACTGCTGTAAGTCCTACAGTTCTTCAAGGGTAGTTTGTCGTGTCAGAATCCACAACATTTGATGTGTTGATTGTACATATGTTTGTGTTAAATAGTTGTGTGAGTTCCAATTGATGTAATTGTTGGTTAATCTTGTTTGTGTCTGGACATTCCACAACTTACAATCGTCAACCTGTGAAGGGTTGTAGGCGTACTGGTGTAAGTCCTGCAATTCTTCAAAGGAATTCCATCAAGACATGATCTGCGAGTTTGTGTGTACTGTTTGTATATACGTGTGGTGTGTCATATCAATTGGTGTTTTTGGATTCATTGTGTTTACTCGTTGTTTTCGTATCTTGTTGTTATTGCGTAATTTTGTTAAAATTTTCGTCGTGATTACTTCTGAAGTTGTTTCGAGTCTTCTACATCCATGAATGAATTGATTGATGTTAAGGACAGCAGATGGGTCGTATACGCCGGGGAGGCTAGGCTATTGCTGAGAATGAAATGCACACGGAGATAATTGTTAGCTGCGGTCCGACACGCCGGGGAGAAAGAGTGTAAACGACTGAGGCTCGCATGCGTCACCGCTACTAGAACTGAGGCAGAATGAGTGACAAGCGATTTCAGTGGTAATTGGTAGTGAGTAGATAAGAGGATGTGCGTAGAGTATCATGAGGTGCTGCTATGGTCACGTTGCATTCTGCAAGAGTCATTCTAGCAAGTGGCGATTGTGTTGCAAGATGTCAAGAGGAGGTCTCTGTCTGGAGGCGCAGGTCGTCATTGATGTGTGAGATTGTGCTGTGGGTATGCTTGTGGTGTGTTGGCTTTTCTGTTTGTTTTCCATTTCAGCTCTGTCCGTGTGACCCAGGTTCTCGCAATGGCATCCAAGTCAACGTGCATTGGTCGTGAAGGAAAAAAGGGTTGGATCCCTTTTTTGCCGGGGAGTGTCAATGGAGTTGAAGATTGAACGATCAATTCTTGGTTGTTTGCTCAAAATCAACTTCCCCGATTTTCGCGGAGGCATCAATACGACAGTCATCGTCTCATCGGTCGCTGTTCAGAAAGAAGAGTGAAACATCGTCAGAAGTAATATAACGATTTATTATTGTAATATTTGTTTTCAGACCTTAGTTCGTTTATTCCTTTTATATGTTGGTGTAACAATAAAGAAATAACAAGCAGCAGATCGGTGTTTTGGTTTTTGCGTCCGTTATTACTAAGCGTTTCTGAAACTCAAAGGAACAGCGTGGGCCCGAGCGTAGCGAGAGCTGGGCATTAACGGTTTATGAGACGAGACTGACAGGGTGTATTCACACTTATTTTGCACATCCTGAGAATCACTGATCTTCATGTGTTTACTCTGCTGTGTGTATTAGCCGACTTTTTTTCATTACATTCCTTCTTATTCGCTTTTGTGTTTTTTACCACATTGGGGTAACTTGATTTGTTACACTTTTGTGCTAAGTTCTATGTTAATTCACTAAGTCTCGAGTTACACAATTAGACATATGTAGTGTCTTCAACTTGTGACTTATGATTTCCAATAAAACTGTTTTGTCCTTCGTAGTTACTATTCCTTTGTCTCACACCTCAGTTTACTGTCTCTTTTATGCATTTCTTCTACTTTCTTCTTTTGCTTTGTGTGCTAAATGGAGTGTGGCGACTTGAACTGCCGCACATATGTGCAAAGTTCTATGTCAAAGGCAGACAGAGTGTCTTTAACTACGAAGATATTGAATACTGTCTGGTAAGTATGGCTGCACTATACTGATTCTCATTATGCCTTTCATTAAGTGACATTTTTTCAAGTGAAAAGAAAGAAAGAATTTTAACTGTATAAAATCTCAAGTTTGTCAAATGTTATCTGTGTAACAAACGTTTTTTACTACTTTTGATTTTATAGATGCTACGCTTCCATTAAGTGTATCAGATTCATTGGATCTTGAAATAAGTAACGAGCCTACAACTGTCGGAGCAAATGAAGTTACTGAGACTACCGTTCGTCGACTTACCGTACTTCTTGAGAAACGTGCTCTAACCAATCAAGAAGCACGAACTAAATTTCCTGATCAGCCAAAGCGTTTTATGCAGTCGGAAGTGGAACTTCAGGAAACACTTGAAGAAATGCAGGTTAGTCTCTTCTAACTGTAAGACGTAAATGATAGTGTTATGAATTCCTTTCCGAATGAAAATCCTTAGAATTTTGAATTAATTACTTGTATTGCCACAGAAATTGTATAGACTGCAGCTAAATGTCAGGTCTCATGTGTTTTATATACTGTAATGAATATCGTGGCGGAAGTATTTCATGTTCTCAAGGCAATTAGAAAATTGTGATTGAGTTGTTAGAAGAGCTTTGTTTACTTGTGACTACCGGCGTCCAACAGTCATATTTCTTGACCTAAAGGCAGCATTCGACTCTGTCGATCGGGAAGTTCTCTGGAGATGCTTGACTGTAAACGGAATTCCAAGAAAATATATTGCACTGATTAAGGCACTCGACTCCTACTCATACAGCCAGGTGAGGGCTTACGGCGAGCTGTTATCTGAACTGATGACGACCAGTGGTGTCCGTCAAGGATGCCTATTATCTCCTTTTCTATTCAACTTCATCATAGATGTACTAATGGACTTAACCCTAAGTGACTTCAGCGACTCAGGGATTGACTTCCTACCGGGAATAATCTCGTTGACTTGGAATATGCAGACGATATAGTCCTTCTAGGCGAAGACGCTGACGAAATGCAGAGTCTTCTAAACACCTTGAGCCGCAATCTACGAATGTTTGGCATGCGATTCGCTCCCGCCAAATGCAAGATGATGTTACAGGACTGGACTACATCGACGCCTAGTTTAAAAATAGGAAGTGAAGTGGTAGAGCACGTTGACCGCTTCACTTATTTGGGAAGTACCATCAGCCAATGCCAACGGGCTGATCTCTGACGAAATCTCAGCACGAATACAGGGGCTCGTTTCGCATTTGTTAGTTTACGCCGACTCTGGCGTAGACGAGATGTTCGACTATCGACCAAAGGGCGGGTGTACTGCTCATCAGTCCGCTCCGTCCTCCTTTATGGTGTGAGACCTGGCCACTGAGAGTGGAAGACATGAAAAGACTAGCTGTCTTTGATCATAGGTGCCTGCGTTCTATTTCCCGTGTAAAGTGGCATAATAAGGTGAGCAACATGGAGGTTAGGCGTAGAGTTCTAGGTAAACAGGGGAAATCAATCGACGAAGTCGTGAAGCTACAAAGACTGAGATGGTTAGGACATGTGTTACGTATGCCAAGCCATCGCCTCCCTCGACGAGCAATGTTAGCGGATATAGGGTGAGGCTGGAAAAAGGCTAGCGGCGGTCAAACAAAAACTTGGCACCAGTCAATGAAATCTACAACAGTTAGTCTAAGCCATGTAGGAAGGTGTAGACTTCCAGGCTGGGGTCCTCGGGACGGTAAAAATCTATGGTTGGAAACAATTGGTGACATGGCTAAAAATCGTTCTCAGTGGCAAGCGCAGATGCATCCACTCCCTGTGACTTATGATCTTCAATGAAACTGTTTTGTATTTCTTTATTACTCCTTTGTCTCACACCTCTGCTCACTGTTTCTATTATGCTTTTCTTGTACTTTCTTCTCTTGCTTCGCGTGCTACACGGAATGTGGCGACTTGAACTGGTGCACATTTGTGCAAAGTTCTATGTCGAAAACAGACAGACAGACTTGTGACTACTCAGCTTCTCCTTCTTTGTGTTGCTTTCCTGTGTGCACTGGAAGAATTCAATTCGAAAAAAATAGGGATCGTACCTGTTTATTACAGATAAGACCTTGTTGATCTTTGAGATGGAGTTGTGGTATGAAAAGGCTTTAATGTTTCATTGTAGTTAATTCACTAACCTCATATAATGTGACTTTTCTATTATCTGTGTGCGTATATGCTGCCTTATTAAGTGTGTGATGTTTTATTTTCGTAAATGGATTAACCTATGTTGTTGTCTGTCTTTATTTTTTACCTCTGCTACTTATTCCTTCATGTTCCAACTAGTTCATAAAGGCTTTTTAGACGTCATTAAAACCGGATTCATCCGGTAACATGAACGGCGATACTAAGAATCGTACATCAGAGTCATAATAAGGTGAGCAGTATTGAGGTAAGGCATCGAGTGCTAGATAAGGAGGAGTAATCAGTCGACGAGACTGTGAATTTATACCGATTGAGATGGTTAGGAAATGTGTTATGCATGCATGCTTCGTCATCGCCTTCCTCGACAGGCAATGTTAACTGATATAGGATCAGGTTGGAAAACAGTTAGTTATTGGTAGTCAAAGCAAAACATAACTTCATCAGTCAATGAAATCCACAACAGTTAGTCTAAGCCACATTGGGAGGTGTAGACTTCCTGAATGGGGTCCTTGGGACGGTAAAAACCATTGTATGGAAATAATTGGTGATATGGCTCAGAATCATTCTCAATGACTGTCGCAGATGCATCCACTCCTTGTGATTTATAATATCCGATAAAATTCCATTGTTCTTCCACATTACTATTCCTTTTACCTCATATCCTAGTTTATTATCTCTGTTTTGAATGTTTTTCTACTCTCTTCTCTTACTTTATGTTCAACATAAATGGAGAGTAGCAACTTGAACTGATGCACATCTGTGCAAAGTTCTACGTTGAAATCAGTCAGTCAGATCGAGAATCACTGCCTAGAGACTGCGGCATGACTCAAAGCCATTGCCTACGGAACAGATGTACAGACCTTTTTCATTTTCCGAAGTCTTAAAATGTTCATTTAATTCTCCCACGTTCTTTTTCCTCTGTTGTGATTTCATGACGTTTTTTCTGTACTTTTATGTGCTTTCCCGAAGTGTGACAAATGGAGCTGTTGCATGTGTGTGGAAATTTGCGCATTGGTATGCATGCAAGTAAGTCAATAGAGTTACAATGCGGCACTGGTTTACTCAAGGAGGACAGTATAAATAATAAAGGTAGAAGCCTCGTCCATCAGGGAGGGAGCAGAAATATGTTACATACAGAGTCATTACCTGCTCTGACATCTTTATCTTTTTAATTGTAGGGTTCGTGCAATAGAAATCTGAGCTTAATTAAACCAGTACACTTCTATGAAGTCATCCACTATAGATGGTGTATGTTTCATATTTCTTTATTGATATCTATAAGTTGATATATAATAGATTAACCGACTTGGTGCACATCTAGGTTGCACTTCGTATGTATAAACTAAGTAAAATGAACCTGAAATCCGCGCTCCATTTTCAGTCGTGTCTGAACATCAGCTTCTGTAGCTTTAAATGCTGGTTTTTTATATTTTATTTTAATTATTATTATCATTCTTACTTATTTTACCTTACTTCGGCTATCTCCTACGGGAGGATGAGCCGGTTTCATGAACCATGAAGTTTCATGGGAATTGGGTACGAGTGATGTCCCCAGCATCACTCAACCTTTGTTTGAGAGTGCAGCTCTAGCCTTTACACAACCAAGTGTGACCTACAAGGCAGTAGGAGTGGAGTAGGGAGTCCACTATCCATTGGCAGCCGGTGATCGGAGTCCGGTTCATACGCCTTTTTGAATGGGGCCAGACATCCAGGGCATCCAATAAGCCCTTTGTCCATCATTCCCTTGGATTCCGAGTGAAACATAAGGATTCAACAACGCATCTCTACTTTGTTGTATTAAGTGGTGTCATTTTCAGCTGGCTTCACGATTGCCCATTGTCAATGGAGTTGAAGATTGAACGATCAATTCTTGGTTGTTTGCTCAAAATCAACTTCCCCGATTTTCGCGGAGGCATCAATACGACAGTCATCGTCTCATCGGTCGCTGTTCAGAAAGAAGAGTAAAATATCGTCAGAAGTAATAAAATGATATATTATTGTAATATTTGTTTTCAGACCTTAGTTCGTTTATTCCTTTTATATGTTGGTGTAACAATAAAGAAATAACAAGCAGCAGATCGGTGTTTTGGATTTTGCGTCCGTTATTACTAAGCGTTTCTGAAACTCAAAGGAACAGCGTGGGCCCGAGCGTAGCGAGAGCTGGGCATTAACGGTTTATGAGACGAGACTGACACCCATCATCTCTGATCTCCTCGCACGATCTCCTCGATGTCACCCTCGCACTGACGACCCACTCGTCGCTTCCCATCGGGATTCTACTCGAGTGCGTAGCACGCAACGTCACGCAATGCATGCCAAATCCAGCTCTATTTTCTCTTGCATATTTCTTAAGCGATCGGCTCTTGCTTTTTCCTATGGTCTCTTGTTGCTAATTCTTCCTGGCCGGCCATCTGATCTTCAATATGGGGCCAGTGAAGACAGCTGCCGATATAAGTCTGTAACTTGCTGGAACTCCTTTTCGCGACACGCAGTGCAAGTTTCTGACGCGTATATAAGCACTGACTGACTTCACATTTGTGTTGAAAATCTGAATCTCTTTGTTTATGCTGCGTGAGTGAGTGTACAAGATTTCCAAACTGATTTCAGGTTGATGAACGCGTATCTTGTCCTTCCGATTCTGGTTGGCTGGCTTTAACGTCTTCATCCGTCCCGACTGCCTGTGGTTAAAATGATGCTTCCTTGATAAGTGAAGGAAGTAACCTCTGTTAAATCTCTCCTGCTGATGGTGATTGGTGCTGTTTATTGTTGTTTTTGCTGTTTGTTGGTTATCTTCATCACCTCCGTCCTCTCTATGTTCGCCCAGAGTCTTATCATCTTCGCTGCCCGCTTCTTCAACCACTTTGTTGGTTTTCGCCTGCAATTCTTCGAGTTTGTGTGACATCAAACATATATCATCTGCGAAATCGAAATCTTCTAAAGTTTGGATTTTTATAATAATGATAATTTGCTTTATTCCCAAATAGTACTTATGTTACAGTGTGGAACTCTCAGCATTTGGTACCACAATGCATCTAATTTACTCGACAAGAGCAAAAACCAAAAATAAAAAACTAATATTACAGGATTAATAATAGAAGCTTTCTTGTATCAGCAGTGACAATAAAGTCGAAAATGTACGAAAAGTGTAAAATTGTAAAATAATTGAAGTCGTGTCATCATAGATCACAAATAGGAGAAGATAAAAGCCAATTATTTTGCTAATGACATAGTAAGTCATAGGTTTCGCGCTCAACAGTATGTCTATCACATAGAGGACTCTGGTCAGATATGGTATCGTTGAATTCCTGTACACTCCGTGTTCGCAATTATCCTCCGTATGCTCTTATAGCCTACTTTATCTTATTGTACTACTTGGTATGTTACAGTTTGAATAGACACACTGTTTCGCTAAGTCAGTCTGGTAGCCCGAACCGCATCTACACCAATTCTTGTCCAAAGAATCATTTGGCTTATCTACTTTCTTACGAGTTGATCACGGATTAATATCAGAGAACCATTGAAAACCAGCACTGGAGTGCTGGACAGCTGCTGTTTCATCCTAGTTTGGGACTTATCTGTAGTACGCACCCGCCACCAGGGTTCCAACCCAGGGCCTTCCGGTTACAAGGCAAGCTGGCTCGTATACCATTCAGCCGCTGAGACCCGATTCTAACTTCTACCAAATCTAACCCTTACAAACCAAACTTTAGAAAATTAATCTGATGCTCGCTAGTGACTTGCTACAGGACTGAGTTTCCTGGAGTTCTAGTGAGAAGTCGTGACCAGTGATGTCCATCCAGATGTCACTTGTGAGGATGGTTGGGGTTACGCTAAATCATGAATTGCTAGAAGTTAGAATTTGTGGACTAGCCATTGAATCGGGTCCCAGTGGCTGATTGGTATACGAGCCAGCTTGCCTTATAACCGGAAGGCCCTGGGTTGGAACCCTGGCGGTGGGTGCGTACTACAGATAAGTCCCAAACTAGGATGAAACAGCAGCTGTCCAGCACTCCAGTGCTGGTTTTAAATATTTCTCTAACTGATATTAATCTGTGATCAACTCGTAAAAACAAAACTAACCCTTACAAACCAAACTGTAGAAAATTATCTACTTTCTCCAGTTATAAATCACATCATTAAAGCTTTATTTTCATTCATTTTTAGATTCTTGCAGCAAATCCCGAATTATATCCAATCTTAGCAGAACAAACACGTCCTGTATCTTTATTACTGGGATTATTATCCCATGAAAATACAGATATAAGTTTGTCAGTCATTGATCTACTCCATGAATTACTTGAACCAACTTGTTTAAAAGAAGCTGGTCTGGGTAAAGTGAATACATTTTTAGAAGTTTTATTCTCTGGACAACTGATTCAATCCCTTACACAAAATATTACACGTTTAGATGAGACAAAAAAAGATGAAGCTGAGGGTGTACACAAAACCCTCGGTGCGTTAACACATCTTTATTTGTTTTCTTTTATTATTTGTTACTATTTTTGCAAGTGCATTCTCACTGTATGTCTTAAACTGAATTCCCAAAATATGTCATTCATGTTCCCGATCATAATCTATACCTTATTCTATGTGATGATACTGTAATGACAGAAGATGAGAAACGTTGTGACAGACCCTTTACTAAGGAAAAACACATCATGCTGGTTTGCAGAAAGTTGATTGGTTTCCGGATTTCATCATAAGCTGACATCAGTTAGAGAACCATCGGAAAACCTGGGAGTACTGGATAGCCGTTTTGTCAGCCTAGTTTGGGACTCTTCAGCAGTAGGCACCCACGGGGGTCGGAACCCAAGACCTTCCTGTTACAAGGTGAGCTTGCAGTCCATGAAGCCACTGGGACTCGATCCAATGGCCCATGAATTCCAACTCCTGCCAATTAACGATGTAGCTCAATCACTAGCCAATGTCATCTACGAATGTTTGACCTCACACCCGACCTGCTATACCCCACTTGCCACGACTTCTCACCAGAACCCACGTGGATAGGTTCGCCAGTGAGCATCGTGAGTTGGCAGAAGTCGGAATTCATGAGTCATTCAATCAGTTCCCAGTGGCTTAATGGTCTACGAGCTTGCCCTGTAACCAGAAGGTCCTGTGTTTGAACCGCGGCGGTGGGTGCGTACTTCTGAAGAGTCCAAAACTAGGGCGAATCAACTGTCCAGTACTCCCTGCAGGTTTTCAAATGGTCCTAACCGACGTCATCTCATGATGAGGTCCTGAAACATCATATATATATATATCTTAGCCACAGTAGTCTTCGGCTAGGTCAGCAGACAGCAGATTGCTCTGATTGGTTGGCTATCACCCCAAGGTGAAACAAAATGTCCAGTGAGGTTATTTCATGTCCACAACATAAACTAAATACATATTTGAGAAACGAACACTTCTACATCTACAGCCATTCACTTAAAATTTTGATTTCGGTTTTGGTGCTCCCTAAAAATGCTACCCAGTTACCGAGGCTGAATTAAGTGGTGTGGGACTCGAACGCATGCTCAGCTAACTGGAACTCAAGTGCTTAAGCTAATGAGTCGCGTCTGTGTTGTAAAGGAACAATAAATGAAAGCATCCTCACAAAGTTCATTAAAGTGATTATCTGTCAGTCTGTTTTCTAGAGGGTTGAAAAAATAGGAAAACTAAAGGAAAATTGTTACTAATTTTTGTGCTAAGATTTATCGTATGAAAGTTTCTAGCCACTTAATCGAATAATCCACCCAACAAAATACGAACCTATATATTTATAAGTGTTTTTTGGTATATGGTTTAGTATTCACATACTGACGTCTCTCGTTCAGAACTGTTGGCTTGAATTGTTCAGATGCTTTATTAGAAACTGGTAGAGGAGATCAAAGAATTTTCGACCTAATGATGACAGTGTCTGCATTTGAATAGATAGTGATGGAACAAAATCAAAATTTAGTGTTTCTTTGGAAGCAAGGAAAAATCATCATCAGCTGCTTCAACACACTCTTCGTTAGCTTGAAATTTGCGTCATTGGATAGTCTTTTTGAAGTTGCATCTGTGTATTCTGTCGAGCTTCTTTGCTCATCTTCTGGTAGCTCGAGTAAATCATGTGATATTAATGACGTATTTTGTTCGGTCTAGGGTAATCCAGAGTTTATTTTACTGATTACTTTCAATATGTGATGCTTAATGGAGCTGTGATTTGGGTGATGAATGTGCTTGTTGATTTAAAACACTAACCACGTACAATATAAGCATCGAAAGACGCTCTACACAAGATAAGAAAATGGAATTTTATGAAGAAATCAAGTGTTTTGAAACTTTCAAAGGACAACATAATGAAACAAGTGAAAGTACTTATCAAAAGTGTTTAAAACAGCGTTTGTTACTTCACATATCTTTTAGAAATAGAATGGGAAAAGGGCTAAGAGCATTTTTGACATTGATAATGATTTTGAGCAATATTCGATGGTGTATTGAGCCACTGACTCTCCTAATATCTTGCATCCCACGCAGGGAGTCTTAATGCTCCAATAGACGTACAGTCAAATGAAACCTACTTCATTCCATGGCACGACGTCATGGGTTGATCATCTCTTCGCTTTTTTGAAACAGACCCAGGACTAGCAAACAGTTAACGGCATGGAAGCTGCTGAGCTGACAATTGAAATACATGTCTAAGCTACCGAAGATGACATCACTTATTGAAACTAGGACGAAACAGCTGTCCAGTACTCCTAGGTGGTTCTACACTGGTCCTCTAACCGGTATCAGTTCATGGTGAAATCCTGAGACAAGCCAACACTTGAAGATGATTTTAGTTTATTTCACTGTATTTATTTTTGACGTTTTGTTTTTGTTTTGATTTTTTAAAAGGAATTATTGAAAGTTTACTAGAAATTCGTCCAGATATGAATGTTATTATGGCAAATCAAGGTCTGTTTGCTTGGCTTCTTCGACGTTTACAAAGACGTCCTATATTTGATAAGAATAAATTGTATGTCAGTGAATTACTCTCTATACTTCTTCAAATGGATGAAGCTAATCGTCGTCAACTTGGTGAAGTTGATGGAATTGATATCCTCCTGCAACAATTATCTGTTTATAAACGACATGATCCTAATAGTCGTGAAGAAATTGAATTAATGCACAATCTGTTTGACTGCCTATGTAGTTCATTAATGTTAACTGAAAATAAAGATAGATTTTTAAAAGGTGAAGGTATACAACTAATGAATCTAATGCTTCGGTAAGTAGTTGTCTTAGTAGTAGTAGTAGTAGTAGTTAATCAATAAGTGTTGTCAGTCTCGTCTCATAAACCGTTAATGCCCAGCTCTCGCTACGCTCGGGCCCACGCTGTTCTTAGAAGATTTCTCAGAAACGCTTAGTTATAACGGACGCAAAAACCAAAACACCGATCTGCCGTTTGATATTTCTGTATTGTTACACCAACATATAAAAGGAATAAGCGAACTAAGCAAACTAAGGTCTGTAAACAAATATTACAATAATAAATCGTTATGTTACTTCTGACGATGTTTCACTCTTCTTTCTGAACAGCGACCGATGAGACGATGACTGTCGTATTGATGCCTCCGCGAAAATCGGGAAGTTGATTTTGAGCAAACAACCAAGAATTGATCGTTCAATCTTCAACTCCATTGACACTCCCCGGCAAAAAAGGGATCCAACCCTTTTTTCCTTCACGACCAATGCACGTTGACTTGGATGCCATTGCGAGAACCTGGGTCACACGGACAGAGCTGAAATGGAAAACAAACAGAAAAGCCAACACACCACAAGCATACCCACAGCACAATCTCACACATCAATGACGACCTGCGCCTCCAGACAGAGACCTCCTCTTGACATCTTGCAACACAATCGCCACTTACTAGAATGACTCTTGCAGAATGCAACGTGACCATAGCAGCACCTCATGATACTCTTCAAGCATCCTCTTTTCTATTCACTATCAATTATCACTGAAATCGCTTGTCACTCATTCTGCCTCAGTTCTAGTAGCGGTGACGCATGCGAGCCTCAGTCGTTTACACTCTTTCTCCCCGGCGTGTCGGACCGCAGCTAACAATTATCTCCGTGTGCATTTCATTCTCAGCAATAGCCTAGCCTCCCCGGCGTATACGACCCATCTGCTGTCCTTAACATCAATCAATTCATTCATGGATGTAGAAGACTCGAAACAACTTCAGAAGTAATCACGACGAAAATTTTAACAAAATTACGCAATAACAACAAGACACGAAAACAACAAGTAAACACAATGAATCCAAAAACACCAATTGATATGACACACCACACGTATATACAAATAGTACAAACAACCTCGCGATCATGTCTTGGTGGAATTCCTTTGAAGAATTGCAGGACTTACACCAGTACGCCTACAACCCTTCACAGGTTGACGATTGTAAGTTGTGGAATGTCCAGACACAAACAAGATTAACCAACAATTACATCAATTGGAACTCACACAACTATTTAACACAAACATATGTACAATCAACACATCAAATGTTGTGGATTCTGACACGACAAACTACCCTTGAAGAACTGTAGGACTTACAGCAGTACGCCTACATTCCTTCTCAGGTTGATGATCCAAGTGGAAGTCGTCCGGACACAAACAGAATTACCAACAGCTAGATGACAGATGATATCAATTCAGTATATACAATATGAACATATGTACAAAATCATACACCAAGCACATTGGACTGCTCATTGATGCGCTACCCTTTGAAGAACTGTAGGACTTACACCAGTACGCCTACAACCCTTCTCAGGTTGACGCCCTAGGTTGGAAAATCGTCGCAGAGTTCATTTGCTAACTTCCTTCTATCAGCTATATCCTCAAATCTGAACGGCAACACGCCCATGTCATTGTATCGTAGAATATAGATGACCAACAAACACACGACATATCTCATCAACCAAGTATAGAAACAGAGTAATTTACACCAAAGATAATAACATTCAAATAGTAACTTGAAACTAGAAATGCCTTTATTCGTGCAAGTCAATTTAACAATAACTCTCTCCTTTACACTTGGCTTATCCACACTAAACTGACCATTGATATTCGTCCTTTCAAACGAACTGATACTACCATAGTCATTGCACAAGATACTTGAGTTGATGGGTGTCTGTTTCATTGTGGATGACAGCACCAACGATGACTGAGTGACACAAGGTGATGAACTTAGTGGTGGATCAGAAGCTGTTCTTGTTCGGCTCTCAGATAGTTGTCCAACTGCAAGATTACCACCACTGCTGTCTTTCACTACTAGTTCGGGTTTAGCACTATCATCTGATGATAGGTGGGCTACACGCTGATCAATTACACTGACTGTCTCACAAGTATGCACACCTTCTGGAACTGCATCTGCGTTCAATTCTACTTCACGTTGTAGTTGTACAGAACCTTTATTTAACTTAGCAGTAGTAGGCATATCCCTCATCTCATAATGATCAACCAAAGACAAATCTGCACTATCATGATCATTATCACGAATATTCACTTTACCGTCAACTTCATCATTTTCAAACTCTTTAATAACAGAAGTAGACAATTTTGGTTCCTCCTCAAAAATCATTAAAGGTTTTATAACTTCACTCTGACTAGTAATACCTTGTAAACTTTGGAGTCAGAACTCCACTCTGAAGCAGTAACTCTATTCTGTGACACTCTATTCAACAACGGCTTACCAGTTGCAACTACAGACTTCTTCACCGCACCGTTATCGTCACACAATTCGGAGTCAGACCTGGAGTTTACATTTAGCTTATCACTGAACTTGCTCACTGGTTCACAGTTCACTTCTGTATGCACCTCTTGCACACGTGTAAAACAAACCGTGTTTGTCTTGCATCTTGTAACTTATCTGTTGAGGATGTACTACGAAACCTGTTACACTCACTAGGTCTATATGCATTACTAGACATCATGGAGCCTTCTCGATATCCACCTCTCTGAGGCTTATTCGTCATCAATGAGTGCGTTTTACCCTCAGACTGCTCTATTCTAGGGGTGAGATCTAACAGACTGGAAAACTTGCTCATAGATTGATTGACACTAGTATTTACCAGTTTCAGGATATCATCAAACTTTGGCTCGATACCCTCATCCTCCATACGGGAGCTTATCTTCACCCACTTCCTTTGCAGTCGAGTAGGTAGACGTCTTGCTATTACTTCTAGTATAAAACTCGAGTTGAGGTCACTCATTCGATTCATCGAAATCATTCCATTCTTGTAAATTAGCAAATTATCTAAAAACTCAGTGAGTGCCTGGGAGTCATCCTGTAATTGACCACCATTACCCTTAACAGCCTCGAATAATTTCCCTGCAATCATCGAAGGTCTTCCAAACCTTTGACGTAATATGCTCATAGCCTCGTAGTAGCCCTCTTTTGGCTTCATAAACTTACAGCACTGTATAGCTCTTGCAGCATCTCCAGTGCAATATCTCATCAAATACATTAACTTCAATTCATCATTTAATAAAAAACCACTCAACATGATCTCAAACTCCTTTACAAATTGTAAATAATCAGCCGGGTTTCCATCAAAACATCGTGGTTCAAATTTAGGGAGTTTGATGTTCCTATTATCCCTGAACGGCGAAACAGTAACATCAACCATGTCATGCTTAACATCAGACACATCGTTACAATTAACAGACAAGTCACCATGACTTACTTTCCTGTTTGCATCCAAGACACTCTGTCCCTTCTTTGACCCAGGCATTGTTGAACTTGACCCAATTCCAAAAAGTTCCAGATATTGCTTGTTCAAAGAGGACTTGACCGGCACCAGGAAAAATGAACGGCGACTATCCAAACTTTCACCAACTGTTTGAATCCGCCAGATCTGTTTCTATCGTCAGAAACTGTCAGTCTCGTCTCATAAACCGTTAATGCCCAGCTCCCGCTACGCTCGGGCCCACGCTGTTCTTAGAAGATTTCTCAGAAACGCTTAGTTATAACGGATGCAAAAACCAAAACACCGATCTGCCGTTTGATATTTCTGTATTGTTACACCAACATATAAAAGGAATAAGCGAACTAAGCAAACTAAGGTCTGTAAACAAATATTACAATAATAAATCGTTATATTACTTCTGACGATTTTTCACTCTTCTTTCTGAACAGCGACCGATGAGACGATGACTGTCGTATTGATGCCTCCGCGAAAATCGGGGAAGTTGATTTTGAGCAAACAACCAAGAATTGATCGTTCAATCTTCATCTCCATTGACAAGTGTTTATCGTTTTCATGTTATTATTAATTTTGTTAAATATGCTGACGACCTGACTGTATCTTTGCCTGTCAAATGTCAAAGTGACTGCTCCAAACTAAATGGCTTTTTATCAGAAATTAACCAGTGGTCCGAGGAAGACATACATATTAATACATACATTATAATTTATATTGGGAAATGACTTCAAGCTTTATTTTTTCCCAAGTATTTGTAATCCATCCAAAGCATACCCGGGCTTTTCTGTTACTGCGAAAACAGTATTTCAATATTCCTTGATGTGCTCCATTGAATGACTAGCTATCATATTGTTCCTACAAACCAAAGACAAAAATGACGGCAACCATGTAATTTCACCATAAATCAAATTTATGTAATTTAAATAGTACTTATCCATGGCTGTACAATTGGTGTGTCCTACACGGGTGGGAAAAATATGTATTTTATTGAATCATTATTATTAAATATGCTTACTAATCGTATATCCAATTTATCATATTGATGATGCTTGTAAACTGGCGTCCCTCGCATGCAAAATGAGAATATATTATTATTTCCATACTAATTATGTAAAGAACCATGTGGGATCTCAGAGACATTAGTTATTCGACAGTGCGTGGGGAAACAGCAAAAATAAATGCTATGGACTGTGGCACCCTCCCTCTTGAACGTGATAGTTGTATCTCACTTCCCACACTATCATATCTGGAAGAAAGTTTTGTGAAAAGTGTTATGATCATGGTGCTGCTGTGGTTAAATTATTCTTTACACTGTCAGCGGTTTGATTTGACTGAAAGAGACGGTTAATGTTATTAATAACAGTAAACTTCTCAAAATGAATACACATATGAAAAGAACGGTTAACCGCATTAGGAATGTCGAAGGGAGGAAAGAGGAACTGTTAAGTGACCCTTCGAAAACCTGACCCGGCTGCTCCTCAGAATGTCATGAAGCAATAGGTGGTAAAAGCAC